GGGTAACCAGAAGGGCAAGATGGAAAAGAACATTCTGAAATAGCACAAGCAAAGGCAGTGACTGAGCATAGTTAGATGAGTATAGGGAGGAGATGGGGACAGAAGAGCTAAAGATACAAGCAGGCGGGGCACAGTGGCTCACACATGTAATGCCAACATTTTGAGAGACTAAGGCAGGCAAATTGTGGAGCCCAGGAATTTGAGACCAGCCTGGGCAACATATCAAAACTCCATCTCTACAAAAAATACAAAAAATTAGCTAGGCGTGGTAGCTCACACCTATAGTCCCAGCTACTTGGGAGGCCAAGGTAGGAGAATCACCTAAGCCCAGTTGAGGCTACAGTGAGCCAAGATCATGCCACTGCACTCCAGCATGAGTGAGAGTGAGACCCTGTCTCAAAAAAATAAATAAAAATATAAATAAAAAAGATACAAGCAGATGCAAGATCTCCCCCCAGGGCAATCCTGGAGCACAAAGGGCAGTAGAGGCAACATCAGAATTACTTGACGAGCTTGTTTAAAATATACACATCCTGGCCAGGCATGTTGGCACACACCACCTGTAATCCCAGCGCTTTGGGGGGCTGAGGTGGGAGGATCACTTCAGGCCCAGAGTTCGAGAACAACCTGGGCAACATAGCAAGATGCTGTCTCTACAAAAAATTTTAAAATTTCCCAGGCATTGGCTGGGCATGATGGCTCACGCCTGTAATCCCAGCACTTTGGGAGGCCGAGGTGGGCAGATCACGAGGTCAGAAGATCAAGACCATCCTGGCTAACATGGTGAAACTCTGTCTCTACTAAAAATACAAAAAAGTAGCTGGGCATGGTGGTGGGCGCCTGTAGTCCCAGCTACTCAGGAGGCTGAGGCAGGAGAATTACTTGAACCCAGGAGCCAGAGGTTGCAGTGAGCCGAGATCACGCCACTGCACTCCAGCCTGGGTGACAGAGCAAGACTCTTTCTCAAAACAAAACAAAACAAAACTTTCCCAGGCATGGTGGTGTGTGCCTGCAGTCCCAGCTACTTGGAGAGCTGAGATGGAGGACTGCTTGAGCCTAGGAGTTTGAGGTTCCAGTGAGCTATGACTATACCATTGTACTCCAGTCCAGGTCACAGAACCAGAACCCAATAACCTGTCTTTGAAAAAAGGAAAACACACACACACACACACACACACACACACATCCCATATTCCCATCTCCGCATCCCCAGATCCTAGGATTCCTTGGAGGGAGGTACCTGCAGTGGCCTCACAAACTCCTTTTGAAAATAAGAAATAAAACTGAGCAGTTTTCCCCATGCAATTCTGATTTCTAAGCCATCCCCTTCATCCGCTGGGTTAAGATGAATGCTGAAATGCATTTCAGCATCTTCCTATCACTCCCTCAATCAAGAAGAGGATTCTCTTCCTGTCTCCTGGCCTCCCGTTTAGAATTAACCATGCTGGGCCCAGGGCTGCCCACCTGTAGCATGGAATTTTGGGATTCAGGCTCTGTTTTGCATCTCCTGTACAGCAGCACCATTAACTAGGCCTCTGTTGAATGACTTCTGTTGACTCTGTGTATTAGTCTGTTTTCACACTGCTAATAAAGACAATTTACAAAAGAGAGAGGTTTAATGGACTCACAGTTCCATGTGGCTGGGGAGGCCTCACAATCATGGTGGAAGGTGAAAGGCACTACTTACATGGCGGCAGACAAGAGAAGAGATCTTGTGCAGGGAAGCTCCCCTTTATAAAACCATCAGATCTCGTGAGACTTATTCACTATCATGAGAATAGCATGGGAAAGACCCACTCCTATGATTCAATTACCTCCCACTTGGTCCATCCCACAACATGTGGGAATTGTAGGAGCTACAGTTCAAGATGAGATTTGGGTGGGAACACAGCCAAACCATATCATTCTGCTAGACCCTCTGGCTCTGACCCCTGGCCTGTCTAGATTTCTGATAGCTCCCAAGCCCTGTCTACACCTGTCTATCAATCTGTGCATTGACTCAACAGCTTGGGTTAGGCTTAGAGTCAGCTTAGTCTCATCCCTGGTCCTACTCAGCCCTACCAGTTGTATCATCTGTCCCAGTTTGGCAGACTGAAGCTTCCCAGGTTCCACAGGGGCTGCAGGATGACTGGCACTCTTTTCAGTGGAAGAGGGAGGGACTTCTTTCCAAACACGACAATAAGAATATACAACGGAATAAAAAAAAATAACAAGTCTTAAAAGAATTTGGGACTTGAGAAACTGCAAAAAACACAGTGTGACTGCAGCATGTGGCATGAAGCAAGGGGCAGGGAGGATGATGCTGGGAAGCCAGCATAGAATGAGCTCTGGAAGGGCCTTATTTACAGAAGACCTGCCCGTGGGATATAAAACACTCCCATACATGATCATTTGGGGGGTCCTCAGTCAGCTTTCTAATCTCTGAATTACTGGGCTTCTGCATTCTTAGAAAGTTTCTCAATGGTAAAGCTGTTATTTAAAATTAAGTTGGGTCCCAATAAATAAGATAGTGACTATCCAGTGACACTAAGGATAGTAGAGACAGGTTGAACTTGAGATTTATGAAAGAAGCAAAATCGGGAGGTTGTTATAAATGACCGAGGGTATATATTAGCCAAGGATACTTTTGATTACCAGAACACTCAACACAAACTGGCATAAGCAATAAAGAAAACTGGTTTGCTCATGTGATGGGAAGAGTGCAGCAGTAAAGTGGGCTTCAGATGTGCTTCACTGAGAGGGACCTTGGGCCCTGACTCTTTTTCTCTGTGATGCACTGGGCTCTGCCTCCCTCAGTGATGGGCTGTGTCCTCCTACTGGGTTTCTTCATGGTAGTCAAAGGGCTGAGCTTGTCCCAACCTCATATTTGTGCATCACCTTCTTCAAAGCAAAAAAAGAGGTTTTCCTTTCTCCAACCATCACACAAAAGCCATGCATTTACTCTGTTTGGACCAGTCAGAACCAATCTCAGGGCCAGGGGAGGGCCACACAATGAATGATGTGGGCCAACCTCTAAGACAATTTCCATGGCAAGAGAGATGAAACCATTAAAGGATTTGTTCAAAAGCCTTGGACTAATCAGGGTCCACCAAGTGGACTAGGGGTAAATTCTGCTGCAACTGTGTAGCAAATACCCAGGGAGGCAGGTGGGAGAGGAGTAATTCCATAAATTGAAATCTGGGCACTGTGAGCAATAGGAGAGGGAAGGAATGGATATTGGGTAAGAAGCTAACCTGTGTCCATGCTAGAGGGTGAGGAAGGAGAGACTAGGACTCTCTGGCTCTGAGACTGTGGATGTTAAACAACCTTAACAAAGCCTGGAGGAGATACAGAAGAAGTAAGTTTGGGGGCAGGCAGAGAGGTGAGGGAGAATAATAAATTTGTTATTGAATTTTAAATGACTAAAAGACATGTAAGTGGAGATGTTTGATGATCAATTCTGGATCTTTCCAGGAACCCCACACCAGGGAAACCACCACTCAATGATCCCACTGTTTATCCGAACACTGTGCCGAGTCTCTTTAGAGTTTTGAAAAACTCCACAGTTATTGATTAACCATTAGTGATTCCCTCCATCCCAGCATAAGTATTTCCTCTTCTTTAGTGCAACAACCTCCAAATAACTGGAAATGGGGTTGAGCAGGTGCAGATCGGAAGACAAAACATCCCTCTTAATGTGAAAAATTCATTTGTGGCTCTAATTGCTTCAAACTCCAAAGGAAAAAAGAAAATCTCCATTCTCCCAGCATTCAAAATAGAACACAGGCTTTATCTGAATAAAGAAAATAATCTGTCAAGGGAAAAATAAGGACTTACACTGCTCAGATGTCAATCTCACAACATTGTAAAGGAAAAGCAGGTTTAATTACAGTCACATCTACATAGAATCATTTTTGAATGGGGTGCACAAGAACCTAAAGGTCTAAGATTTAGACTTGACAAGATACTTCAACAAAGGCTGATGGAAACAGCCAAGTGTCATGGGGTGGGTTGGGGAGACTTGACTCTGGATGGGAGTTGTGTCGTACAGAATAGAGGGGACCAAAGCAAAAATGTTCCAAGTTGCCTTCTGAATCTATGAAATCATCACAGAAAATTAAATCTAGACTCTCTTACCCAAAGTAAGTGTTTTATTTTCAATAACACAGCCTTAATGGTTGTCCTATATCCTCATGAAGAACACACAAAGAAGTGGCCTGGAATTTTCTAGTTTACCAATGTCAAAACAGAGGCTAAGAGAAAGGGCCCATCTGAAGCGATCCAGAAAACCAGTGGTGACTCTGAACTTGAGGAACTAGAGTGATTCCGTGTCTCAGAAGCCAGGCCACAGAGCCATCAACTAAAACTAAAAGGCAGTTAGCAGTCACTGCAGAACATAAGCCTAACCTTACCCATCTTTCCTAAGCCCTTCCTTCCCATTCCCCCAAAAAAAGAATTTGCAGAGAAAAGTAACCCATGTCCTCTTAGCAAAGCAATTTCTCTGCACCAGGGTCTGTAAACATTGGAGGGAGGATCTAGACAATTCAAAAGAATACATGCTTTACTAAGCTTGAAGGGATGTACCTCACGGGGCACCTGTGGGCCTGCAGCCAGATGGGTGCCCTCTGGCCCTGTGCCCAGGCTGCTGTGTCCAGGCAGTGCGAATGGTGTGTCTTCAGCTCCCATCACTAGTCTAATCATGACTAGCCTAGCTCCCTAGGAAAAAAGAAAAGTTTCTTTTTTTCTGTTTGTTTGTTTGTGAGACAGAATCTCACTCTGTAGCCCAGGCTGGAGTGCAGTGGTGCAATCTCGGCTCACTGCAACCTCTGCCTCCTGGGTTCAAGCGATTCTCCTGCCTCAGCCTCCCAAATAGCTGGGATTACAGACGCCCACCACCACACCTGGCTAATTTTTGTATTTTTAGTAGAGATGGGGTTTCACCATCTTGGCCAGGCTGCTCTTGAACTCCTGACCTCATGATCCACCCGCCTCAGCCTCCTAAAGTACTCGGATTACAGGTGTGAGCCACTGCACCTGGCCAAAAAAACATGTTTCTATGCCTTCTCTCTTCTTGTTTTCTTTCCCTTCTCTTTCTATTCAGAGAAAAGCCACTGGAGGAACTCAGTTCTTGGTACTGTGTATGTCTCCCTACTCCTGTGTTACATCTCCTGAGATCTGTGAGAGCGTCAAGAAAGCACTGGAAAAACCAAAAAGGATAATAGAACCTATAAATATATCAAGGCCGTAAACTGGATCTACTATCAACTCTGAAAACAAGAGCTGAGTCACACGTAGCACACGCAGACAGGAGTACTTCATGCTAGGAATGTCTTCCCTTAGGACAATGTTCAGGAACCAGAATGGGGCCTGCAGAAGTCAGAAGGTTCCAGCTGCTTCACAGATCAGTCTCCGGGAACCCCTGAAGAGGCTCCCTAACTCAGGGCAGTATGAAGACAACAGAAACATTGGTTGCCAATCAATGACTGTGCGCCATAGAATGACAGTTACACATGCTTCATTATGCAGTTAGCGTGAACATAATCCTACAAACAACAATAAGAAGTATGAACAGGCTGCTTCTGATATTAACTTCCAGTCTCCCGGCATTAAGGAACTGGTGAAACCCCTTAGTCAGATGTGACAAGGAGTTGCCTTTGTCTCATCCCGTAGGGACTCATTTTCTTCTCACATTATCCAGCCTCTGCGATCTCTGTGTCCCAGGCTGTTCTTGTTCCCTTCCAGTCTGTGCCAGAATGGTTACTTCCTGATATCAATGTCATTATTATTAATTGCAGAAAATACCTGCCTCCTGGCCTTGGATTTTAGAAACAGGCTGCATCTGTTGTGGTTACAGCAGAGTGCCTACTTTCCTTTCAGTGCGCTCCGCCGAATGCCCAGCTGTCAATAATTTACCATTTCAGGGTTGGCTTTTTCTTCTACATGATTGTGGCTTTGTGTCTCTCTCTGAGTACCTCTGCCTGTGAGCTCTGTGTTCCCCAAAATTCCTAAAAGGAGATTGGGAACGTTATCAGTTTGCTCCTTTAGACAGGAATAGCAATTTGCAAATCCAAATGGAAATTGTTTCTCTTTCCCAACACAGCGAAAACACTCTCTGTTATGTTAGAACACACTTGGCAAATGTGCCCCTGACCACAGTTATTCTTGCAGCCTGACTCTGGTATAGCAGTGTAATTTTGTCAAAGACTCAATTAAAACCATGTAAGCTTCAAGGATACGTGATCCTAGATCATCAATCCTGTTTTTGCCATAACACACCTTTTACTTTCTAGGAATTGGCAGAGGGTTGGTTACTGTAGGAACAATCTGTAATTAGCAATCAAGTATATTTAAATGACAGAATCTATTCCAATAGAATGTTTTACCCCAACTTGCTTTAGATCTAGATATGATATCTAGATATGAGGAACCTGATGACAATCCTATATGGGGTGTTTGGACCCTCGATCTATGAAACAGCATTGCTATCAAACTATATTTGACAGTCCTATATGCAAACTTAAAACAGTTGTCTCTATGAATCAGTAATAAGTATTTGTTGTCAGCTAAAACATTTTGAGGCTGGGTGTAGTGGCTCACGCCTGTAATCTCAGCACTTTGGGAGGCCGAGGCAGGCAGATCGTGAGGTCAGGAGTTCAAGACCAGCCTGACCAACATGGTGAAACCCCGTCTCTATTAAAAATACAAAAATTAGCTGCGTGTGGTGGTGCATGCCTGTAATCCCAGCTGCTTAGGAGACTGAGGCAGGAGAATCACTTGAACCTGGGAGGTGGAGGTTGCAGTGAGCCAAGATCACGCCACTGCACTCCAGCCTGGGCAACAGACCAAGACTCTGTCTCAAAAATAAAATTAAATAAAATTAAATAAAATTGAAATGTATTTCCAGGTGGAAACAACCTAAATGTTCATATCGTTGGACAATTTTTGCATGAATGGATAAACAGAATGTGGCAGATACATACTATGGAACATTATTCAACCTTAAAAAGGAAGGAAATTCTGAGCCATGCTATATCATGGGGAAACCTTAAGGACATTGAGTGAAATAAGCCAGTCACAAAAGGACAAATACCACATGAGATACTTAGTCAGATTTATACATAGAGCGAGTAGGCCAGGCACAGTGGCTCAACGCCTGTAATCCCAGCACTTTGGGAGGCTGAGGTGGACAGATGACTTGAACTCAGGAGTTCAAGACCAGCCTGGGCAAAATGGTAAAACCCCATCTTTACAAAAACACACAAAAATTAGCCAGGCATGGTGGCACGTCCCTGTGGTCCCAGTTACTGAGGCTGAGGTGGGAGGATTGCTTGAACCTGGGAGGCAGAGATTGCAATGAGCTGACATCCTGCCACTGCACTCCAGCCTGGGGGCCAGAGCGAGACCCCATCTCAAAAAAAAATTTAAAAAAGAAAGAAAGTAGAATGGTAGTTGCCAAGGGCCGGGCACGGTGGCTCACACCTGTAACTCCAGTACTTCGGGAGGCCAAGGTGGGTGGATCACCTGAGGTCAGGAGTTCCATACCAGCCTGGCCAACACAGTGAAACCCCATCTCCAATAAGAAATTACAAAAGTTAGTCAGCTGTGGTGGCGAGCACCTGTAATCCCCACTACTCAGGAGGCTGAGGCAGGAGAATCTCTTGAGTCTGGGAGGCAGAGATTGCAGTGAACCAAGACCATGCAACTAAACTTCAGCCTGGGTGACAGAGCAACACTCCGTCTCACAAAAAAAAAAAAAAAAAAAAAAAAAAAAAAGAATGGGGGTTGTCAAGGGTTGTAGGGAAGGAAAGAAAACAAGTTATTGTAAGAAATACCAAGTTTCGGCCAGGCGCAGTGGCTCACACCTGTAATTCCAGCACTTTGGGAGGCTGAGGTGAGCAGATCACGAGGTCAGGAGATCGAGACTATCCTGGCTAACACAGTGAAACCCCATTTGTACTAAAAATACAAAAAATTAGCTGGGCGCAGTGGTGGCCGCCTGTAGTCCCAGCTACTCTGGAGGCTGAGGCAGGAGAATGGTGTGAACCCGGGAGGCGGAGCTTGCAGTGAGCTGATGCGCCACTGCACTCCAGCCTGGGCAAAAGAGCGAGACTCCATCTCAAAAAAAAAAAAAAAAAGAAAAGAAAAAGAAAAAAGAAAAAGAAATACCAAGTTTCAGTTTGGGTAGATGAAAAAAGTTCTGGAGATGTTGGGGGGTGATGGTTGCACAACCAAATGAATGTACTTAGTGCCACTGACCTGTACGCTTAGAAATGATTAAAATGGTGGATTTTATGTTATATGTATTTACCACAGTTTTTTAAACGTGATATTAAAAAATTCATTTCCAAGTGAGGATTTTTAATATTTCCTAAAATATCTGACTCTGGTTGAAATGGCTTCCAAATCACACAGATTGGTTCTCCTGTGATCTTAACAATATATACAGAATACCTAGACTCTCACACACATGAGAATATGGTGACATCCAACTGCGAAGATTTCAAAGTTCAGAGCAACAAACTGCTAGAGCTTTTTCTTGGTTTTCTGGACAACGCACCTAAAAGGCTTCTCTGTTCTTCAAAATCCAAAAAGGTGTGTCTTGTAGTTCTACTCACAGGGGAAGTAGACGGGCTAAAAAGGTAAATGCACAGCAAATCATTCTCCATGACACATCACAATGAACACTCTGCTTTGCTCCTGCAGCCAATGACCCCGGAAGTGGTTTTGTTCACCATTGCACTTCCCAGGGCTCTTCCACCTGGTGCCGCCTTCACCCTATCTGCAGCTCTCCTGCCTAGACCTGTCCTGTCCACTGAACTGAATTGGAGGAAGGAAATGTTTGTCATTAGGAACCAATTACTCAAAGATACAAAGTATGTATGTACATATATTTTCCATTTTTTTCTTTTTTCTAACTTTTCTTTTAAGTTCAGGGATACATGTGCAGGTTTGTAACATAGGTAAACTTGTATCATGGAGGTTCATTGTGCGGATGATTTTGTCACCTAGGTATTAAGGCCAGTTCCCATTAGTTATTTTTCCTGATCTTCTCCCTCCTCCCTCCTCCCTCCTATAGGCCCCGGTGTGTGTTGTTTCTATTTTCATTTTCAAAGAGAGATCTCCGAAGGACTCACATTACCTGTTCTAGATAACTTTTGACAACAGCAGCTTCAAATAAGGTAAATATTCATCACCACATAGAAGCTGAAATGAAAATAAGTCATGAATGAAATCCTAATGAAAATAAGTCCTGGCCGGGCGCGGTGGCTCAAGCCTGTAATCCCAGCACTTTGGGAGGCCGAGACGGGCGGATCACGAGGTCAGGAGATTGAGACCATCCTGGCTAACACGGTGAAACCCCGTCTCTACTAAAAAATATATATATATATATACAAAAAAAATACCTAGCCGGGCGAGGTAGCAGGCACCTGTAGTCCTGGGAGGCGGAGCTTGCAGTGAGCCCAGATCGCACCACTGCACTCCAGCCTGGGCAACAAAGCGAGACTCCGTCTCAAAAAAAAAAAAAAAAAGAAAAGAAGTCCTTAAAACAGTCCTTCTTTTCTTTTTTCAGGAAGTCTGTGGATGGCTATGCATTTGATCCCTTTTCTCATGTCTGACTCTGTTTCTGGGGGTGTCATGTGGCAAAAAAATAAAAATAAAAGTAAAAAAATTTAAAAAGGAGGAGGATGGGCTTTAAAGCCAGAGAGAGAGATCCCATTCCTGGCCCTCCTGTGTGCCAACTGAGCAGCTCTGGCTCTCTGGAGACCCCCAGCTGTCTATCTGAAGATGGTAACACAGGCATCCATGCTGCAAGATTGTAGCAAGGATTAGAAATTATGTATGAACAGCATTTGAAGCAGTGTGCAATAAATTACATCAATGATCGTGATGTCTGTATTGCAAACATAGTGGCGTATGTCACACATCAATATCTTTACACTGCTCAGCACAACCACACCTCCCCCACCATTCCCCAGGAAAAGGTGCCCTGCTCAGAGTCCTAGGAGACCGCACACCCAAGGTGGCCCAGATTCTTTCTCCTTAAACTATTGCCTATTTTATCAGTGTGGGAAACTGGGCAAATAGCGCAATCACAATAAGAGTCTCCTCATCTGTAAATGTTGCATCAGGCCAGGTGCAGTGGCTCACACCTGTAATCCCAGCACTTTGGGAGGCTGAGGCAAGTGGATTGCTTGAGCTCAGGAGTTCAAGACCAGCCTGGGCAATGCGGCAAAACTCTGCCTCTACTAAAAATACAAAAAATTATCCGGGTGTGGCGGTGCGTGCCTATAGCCCCTGCTATTCATGAGGTTGAGGTGGGAGAATAGCTTGAGCCCAGGAGGCTGAGATTGCAGTGAACTGAGGTTGCAGCAGTGCACTACAGTCTGCATCAGAGACCCTGTCTCTAAATAAATAAATAAATGCTGCATCAGGCCTCAATGCTTGAGACCTAAATCTGACTTATATCTGTTTTGGCCAAATTCCAGGCTGACCCTCTAGAGACAGCGCTCAAGCCACAAGCCACAGGACTGTTTGCTATTTTCTCCGCATGGCCATGGTTCCTCGCTGCTGTGGTTCTCTTTCTTCTCCCCATTTCCCACTATTATCCTCTTTCCTTTCATATAGACTATATAACCAGAAACATGAACGTTAAAGCTTAAGAACAGAGTTCAGCCTGTAATCTCAGCACTTTGGGAGGCCAAGGTGGGTGGATCACTTGAGGCCAGGAGTTTTAGATGAGCCTGGACAACATGGAGAAACCCTGTCTCTACTAAAAATACAAAAATTACCCGGGCATGGTGGTGCAAGCCTGTAATCCCAGCTATTCAGGAGGCTGAGGCAGGAGAATTGCTTAAACTCGGGAGGCAGAGATTGCAGTGAGCTGAGATCGCGCCATTGCACTCCAGCCTGGGCAACAGAGTGAGACTCCATCCAAAAAAAAAAAAAAAAAGAACAGAGTTCAGTGCTTATTTAATACAAGTCATTCTTCATGCAAGGAAATGATTACGCATATTCAGAGGAGAATAACAAATATGGTGTGTCGTGTCTTCCAGAACTTGGTATCCTCATCCTTTAGCATTGGTGCTACCACCAAGGGACACGAATGCATGCTAATCGCAGACACTTAGTCAACTCATCTTTCTGCCTCGCCTTGTGCTATCCCAGGGAGCCTTCTCTCAGTGTCCTTGCAAGAGACCTTATCCCCTCAACCACAGCTGGTTAGATCAGGGATGACTACCTGATCCAAGCTGGGCCAATCAGATTCTTTTTTAAGAAGAGATTACTGAAATACAGGAGTTCTAGCTGGCCTCCTGGGAGTACTTAAGCTGGAAACTGATCAAGACTGGGAAGACTATATCGGGTCCACATGGAAGTAGAACTGAGAAATGGAGTCTGCAGAAAGCAAAAATGAAGCAGATACCCAGAGAGAAGCAGATGAGAATATGCATAGGTCAGAGAGAGAGGGAGACAGAGAGTGGAGAGAGTCTTCCTGTCTGAGGGCTTTCTAATTGCTGGTTCCAGCCATTCTTAGGACCCAGGAATGTATCCTTGGGTTCTTTGAGACACACTCATATCCTTCTGATGGCTTTCTCTTTTTGCTTAAATTAACTTGAATGGAGTTAATTTAAGTTAACTCCATTAACTTTGGAGTCAGTGTTCCTTGAAAGCAAAGAGTCCCTGAAACAATGCTTCTCATCTTAGCTACTCACCCAACTGGGTGATGCCATTACCATTGCCACCAGCAATCACAATGAAACATTCCCCTTGAATGCAGGGAGTTGGGAGCCAGCACTCCTTGGACAGCAGAGCCAAATGCCAAAAGCACATCATACTAGCTTGTAGTAGCGTTTGTTAGCCAAATGGTGTGCTGGCAAATGTCTAACAACCGGTTCACCTGGAGAAAAAAGCTCCCAGTTTGAAACATTTGCCGATTTCTATGGTGTAAATAGCCCCACCATTGCCACTTCTAATGTTATATTGCTGAACACAGACTTTGGAAAAGATACTCACAGTGGACTCCTGGGAGTCAGGACAAGTGGCTATCTAGCCTACATTTTCTGATTTAGAAATACTTCCTGGCTCCCTTGTATGACTTGGTTCTTGTCATCTCACTCTTGGGTTAATGGTTCAGAGTGTTATTAGCTCCATGTTTTTTATTCTGAACCAATTTAAATCTCTTTTGGAGAAGGCATAGTAAAATCATTTTTAAAATACAGCCTCATTCTTCTCTGAGAACCATAGTTTTATGCCCTCTCAAACACTAAGAGAACAATAATAATAATACTGAACACTCATATGCAATTCACAGTGTCTAAATTATCTCAATGGCATGCTATGGTGGCTAGAACATACACTTTGCCATCAGACTGACCTGCTTTGAATCCCTGCATAAAGGATGCATTTGGTAAATGTTAGATTTCCTTTCACATATAACGACTCATTTGCTCCAAGTATTCATCCAGCCTCCGTGTTGATCTTGTGCATGACAGACAAAATCAGAAAAGACTCCTAAACAAAGGCCACAACTTTCTCAAGGGATCAGTTGTCCCTTTTTGAAAGGAAGAGCTGACTCTTTAGCTGAGGCTGGAGGCAGAGCATACCTGAGTCCAGTTTTAAGAAACCTCACACACTCCATTTCAGAGACCAGAAGGAAAGCTGGACCCCAAATGCTGCACTTCTTGTGTTCTACTTTGAACTGAGTTTTTGTCCTCTGGTTCTGCTTGTAAGATACAAATGAGACAAGAATTCACGGGAATCATCTCCCTCTGTAGACTGCCAAAGATGCACATCACCCTAGCAACCGCAGAGGAAGAAATGTCCTTTGCCGGTGTGCAGTAGGGGTATCTCAATGGTTCTCCTGTTAGGTTTCAGCTTCAGCTCAAACCATTTCCAGTTTTACCTTTCCAGTGATTTGATAACAAACACTGGAGCATGAACCAACTTGACCCATCATTCCTTCAACTCCCCTCACTCTTGACTATCCCCTACCCCTGGTTTCTAAGAAACCTAAATTTCCCAGTCCCCATTAGTCTCTGGGTCTTTGAGAACCAAGGAGGCAACTTTCCCATGAAAAAATGGCTCCCCAAACCCTGCCTGGAGCGCTTTCAAGTCAAGACAAAGACTTTATCTCATAGCTTCTTCAGTAGGGTCTTGTGTTTTGGACAACAGTTTTCAAAATCCTTAGCGACATATTTCCTTAAGTGGAATCTCACATCAAAGTCCTAAAAGAGATTAAAAAAAAAAAAAAGTAGAGTTGTTTATGACTTTTTAAGTCTTTTTTTCAGATCTCAAAAAAATTAGAAATTGAATTAGAAATTGCACTGGTTGAATTGCAGTGAGGGCCCCAAGAGACTCCTGCAGACCTGAGCCCTGGTCCCTCGCTTATTAAAAAGGCCTTAACAAATGGCAGGGAAACCCTAGGGCTCAGTTTGAAAACCACTGCACTAGGAAGCTCTTTCTCTGCCTGTGTGCAGAATCAGGAGCATCCAAAGTGAGTTGATAGCTGGGGGCAAGGAAACCGGTTAGTAGTTTGCTACAGTTGATCAAATGAATGTTAAAAAGACCTGAACTACCTACACGCCTTTTTAGGGGGAGACATTCCAGGGACAGAGTAACTAGGACTGGGCAACTAATTGGATGTGAGAGAGACAAGAGAGGACAAAGATGTCTGATTTTTCAAGCTTGTGTGACTGCGAAAATTATGGTAGAAATTCAGTAGAAATGGCACTCAGAAAGAGAAGGAAATAATCCATTTGGTTTGGGGCATGCCATAGAGTTTGTCTGGACTAGTTTAGCTTCTCTCTTTGAAATATCCTGGGAGAACTTCTATCCTAGATTGAGAAGGTGACCTGTCCACAAGTTCCCATAGGAAACCAGGAGGGAGCAATGGCCCCATCACGCCTCGTGGGCAAACATATATAAGACACAAAGCACAAAAATATATGCCAGTTGCAAGGGAATAGGACTCCAGGCTGTGAAATCTATTTACCCCAAAGACATGGACAAATGGTCAAGATCAAGCTTCTAAATAAAAATGTGTTCTCTCTCCAGGCTCAGCCCTTCTGAGGACATGGACTGGCAGTATTGCTCTCAGCCGGAATGCTGTCAGATCAGATAGTTGACAAATGTTTGCTCAGAGCCTGCTATGTTGGGGTTAGCCTAGAGAGGTGAGATTACTGGCTGTCCTCAGAATTCAACCAGCCTAAGCACACAGATGGGGTCACCCAGACCACTGTTTATTCTCCGGAGTGAGTTCATTTGTTTATCTCAGAGTGATCCACAAATAGTGACTTCATGCAGTTATGACCAGGGACTCTCTCTGCTCCATGACCCAGGCTGGGTGCACTTGGCTGTCACCGTTAGAAAGCTGTCACAGGAAGATCTTCTAGTGCCAATCTCCTTTCTCCCTCTGTTTGCCACTGGATCACCAGAGAAGGCAGATGGTGCCCTGCAAACACATCCAGAAACCAGACAAATGTGACTTATGTTGATAATGGAAATCCAGCACTGGGCACCCCATCGCATGGGACTAACCGCTGCAATGAGATCCCGCAGGGAGGTGGGAGAGGCAAACTTCAGGTCAACTCAAGGAAGAACGACCTTGATGATTAAGAGCACAGCTTGCAGAGTCAGTCTGCCTGGGTTTGAGTCCTTCCTGCCTCCACCAGTTACCGGCTGTGAAACCTCTCTGTGCCTTAGTTTCTACGTCTTTTAGAAGGGAATAATGATTAATACCTCCTAAGCTGGATATAAGCATAAAGAAAGATAAGCCACATAGCGATTTCAGCACAGCGGTGTCCACACACCCAATACGTGGTGATCATTCTTAAGTCCCGTTCCGCAAAGGAGTGGGCTGCACCAGGGGTAGGAGGTGCCCTATCATGTGGTTTTCCACCCAGCATTTGGACACCTTTGTCAATAAATAATGCAGAGAGATTTCAGCGTGGGTGGGGAGCTGACTCTCTTTTGCTTACTCTGAAGTCACTTTCACAGCTGAGACTGAAATATGGAGTCCAGACACATCCTTTCTTCGTGAGTGCCTGCATCACCCCATGTTCACGCTGCCAGCATTCACAGGACACCTACCCTGCCCAAAGCATCGTGCACTGTGTCAACAGTCGGGGAATTTTAACCCCAAAGACAAGGCAAGCTTGTGTACAGCCGGTCACTGTAGCCATTGCTCTAAAGACCCCAGGAGAAGGACACAGACCAGGCTACGTGCACTAATCAAATGAGGACTTGTTTTCTATTTCTGCCTTTGGGATTATCTAAGGGATTGGCAGGTCTGTAAATCGCTCCAAGCTGCTTGACCACGCAGACACCAGACCTGCTACCGAAAACACCCTGCCAAGCATGATGCTGTTTATCAAAACAAGGTCTTCAAAAATCTTTTCTCTCAATTTCCACTCTATTTCCTAATCAAGAAATAGATAATCCCAGGAGAAAATCAGCTCGCATTTCTCTTCTTCTCTCTGTCTGTCTCTCAGCCTCTCTGTCTCACTCTGCCTCCTTTTCTCCCTCCTTTCTTTCCCGCTCTCCCCACCCCCTCTAGCTTTTATCATTTTAAGCTGTATGCATGCCATTCTTCAGGGGATTAAAGTCAAATTTAGTCTTCTGCAATTGTTATTACCTACCCCTCGGCTTATGAGATGCATTTGCCTGCATTTGTAATGCATCAATAACTTCTACTCTCCTCCACTTGTAAACAATGCATTATATTAAATAGCCTGTGTCTAGCCTTGTATTGAAACAGACGATAAATTAGGACTTCCAGTTCTTGGTTTTTACTGATTCCTAAACCTGCCAGTTACATGCCTGTCCGCCCCACTG